ATGACTATGTTTTGCCTGTGTGTACATCTTTAACCCATCCTCTCTTTCACTGGGAGGGAACATCCTGAGTGCAAGGCCATGGGCACAATATAAGCTTAAAATTCTGTCCTACATCCAAGTCAGCATATTGGAAAGCACCAATGTCTCTATCTATTCACATCTCTTTTTATCAACATATTTGCATATACACACAGTTTTTTAAGGCTCCAAATATTGTTTTTGAAATTATATGGCATCCCATAACTCATTTAGTGAGTGAATCTGTTATGATTTCTCAGCAGTCATTATAAATACTTGGGAATGTGTGTAAAGTGGGAAAACCTGAATTATAAACTGAATTTTGAATTTCACATTTAATGAGTACCAAATTTAACAATAAAGTTAAGTAATATTACCTTTCTTAAACAATGTATTGTTCCCTAAAGCAAAGGAGGACAATAAAATACCATGTCCCTGGATGCTCTATTATTCTTTCCCCAAATCTAGCCAAAATAAGGGAACAATGAGATCAAGCGTGGGATGGGAAGTCCAGATACATATTATCTTGGAGGACATTGGCTTTCTCTAGGCACACTGGGAACTGTAGAAGTTACTTTCTGCACGTACAACAGGACAGTTGCTCCCTGTGATGCTGTTCCTATAAGCAAACTAAGGAAGCTAATGCTGGTGATGTCACTGCTTCTGCCACTCAAGATACAAACCCCTTTCAGAGTGGGGACAGGCATGGAACTGAGGGCACTTTGGAAAGAATACATGTCACTCAGCCAGTCACAGTGGACAGAACACTGTGAGTCATTGCTTGGCTATACACTGTGAGGGAATAGAAGCTGTTCACCTTTTGCCACTGAATTCTTCTTGGTGCAGTCACTGATCTCGTTAGCTTAACCTAATAAACCACAAGTCTCCCATACTGTCTCTGGGTACTTTTTTTTGGCTTTCCCACAACTTAGCACAACTGGACTGTGAATGAGATAAACATGCAATTTGATATTTATTAAATTTAATTCTAAAGCTTTTTCTTTGTATTTTGGAGCCAATTTTTCTTTTAATTTCAAGTCTCAAACATTTTTTGTAGGTTTCTGCAAAGCTTATGGCCATAAGGCACTATACCTATACTTTGGGACCAAGGGATTAAACAGCCACCCCCACCCATCCTCACTCCACCTCAACTGGCAAGAATCAACTTATCTGAAACCACTTCTCCTCATCCAGAAGGCCTTCCCTCATCACCCTCTGCTTCCTGCCTCCTTCCCCATGGATAAGGTGCTCCTCCTAGCTGCTCCTATAATTAATTCTTACCACATTTATTTATCACTTTTTTATCAGTTTGCTATTATTTTTTAATGTATCTGTCTTCCAGCTAAACTGTAGGCTCAGTAAGTGTAGGAATGGATTTATTTTGTTTTCATCTTCAGAGCATGTACACAGTAAGTCCTCAATGAATATGTGTTGTATTCATGAATAAATAAACAATGATCTAGTAGAAAAGAGACAGAATCTATTGAGATGAGAGCTTCCATGAGAAGTATCTCTACTAGATGTGATGGTGTCTTTCAGGGAGGCAGCAGTCGGTTGCACCTAAGGACATGAAGGTGACATTTAAGCTGAGACAAACTGATAATTGTGAGGTGAGGGCAGTGTCTGTGGACTGAAGGGGAGAGCCAGGAATTCTAGGTGGAGAGAAAAATGTGAAGAGAGCCAACAAGAGAGTGAGACTAGAGAGAGCCAGATAAGAACAAGTCCAGGAATTAGGGGGAGAGTGGATGGGGGAGCGGGCACAGCTCAAGATGCATTTTTGTGTCTAGTTAACACTTCTTTTTTTTTTTTTTTGGTACCAGGGATTGAACCCAGGAGCAATTAAATTCTGGGCCACATCCCCAGCCTTTTTTATTTTTATTTTTAAAAATCTGAAATAGTCTCACTAGACTGCTTGCAGCCTTGCTAGGTTGCTGAGGCTGTCTTTGAACCTGTGATCTTCTTGCCTCAGCCTCCTGAGCCCCTGGGATTACAGGCATGTTCTATCACACACAGCTAATGCTTTCTTTTTGACCTTGTCAATTGTTTAATAATATTCATTAATCAAATATTTACTAAGCTCTAGCTATGTGCCTGGAACACTGGCTGCAATTGTCTTCCCAGTTCACTTCAGTGGAGATGGTAAATAATGAGAGTTTCATGCTCACTCTTCATTTGAAATACCACTTACATCTCAGAAGGGTATCAAACCCCAAGAGCCTTCTACTTGTACTTGTTTACCAGTGTTCTGGCTGGGATTGCTACATATTATAAAATAACTTTCCCAGAGCTCTCTTCTCCTTTTAATTCCTTCCATTATTATCTATTTAAATTTATAAGAATTGTTCTTGCCAAAAGAGTCAAAAAAAAAAAAAAAAAAAAACACCAGAAGAGACTGCAAGTTCATTTGAATGACAATGTGGAAACATTTCTGGATAAAAGGCTATAGACCAAAATGGCAAATATCATCACCCCCCGCCCCAACTTCCTACACCAACAAGTTCTGTGAATTTTCCAAATAACAATCTTTCCTTGTCCCCACTGAGCTCAGTACTGCCAACCCAAGGTCAAGGTCTTATTAGACCTCTTATGGAAGATGGGATATACAAATAGGGCTGTGGAAGGCATAGTCTCCATCAACTGCAGTTGGTTTGAACAGTCCCTGAGCCTTGATCTTGTATGAAGAAATTGATACGAGGCCCTCACAGGTAACAAGAGGATTTTTGTCTCCATGAAGCCTCTGTTTTGGTTCTTCAGAAACTAAAAAATGCCTCTTCTTTGGGGTTGTGTAATATTTTTTACATATGCAGAATAAATCATATAAGCTCCTAAAAAGTCTTGGCATTTGCTGATGCTTTGGATCAGATGCAACACCATCAGCACATAGAAAGAACATCTTAGGAGTTGAATTTTTTTGTTTGATTTACTTTCTCTGATTCAAAGATAATCTAAAAGCAGTATTAATTTCTAAGTTGAGGATATACCTAATACAAAGGTAATTAGGTAGCCTCAAGTTAAAAATGTCTATATATGATGACATAGTTTCTGGAAGGTTCTAGAGCTGGGGATGGGTGGTTGTCTTGAAAACACCCAGACAAGAGGTAAAGAGCAGACAGCTGAAGACAGAGTGCTGGGCTGCTGGGTTAAGCTCTGGGCTGCTGCTGCAGGAAGCCCAGATTTATCCAGGAGGGAAGTTGTTGCTGGGCAACTGAGAGAATGTGGCTCTGAAGCATGTTTGTTGCAACCTGACAGTTGTTAAGCATCAGATGAGAAGAGAGGAAGCTGCCTCAGTAGTGAGGGGGCAACCAGAAGGGGTGCCCTGAGTACTAGGAAATGCGTCATGAGTGGAGAATTCCGACTCAGTCACTGGGAGGGGTGGGGGGACATGCCCAAACTGTCTCTACTGGAGGAGGTCACTGAGACATGTTGTCTCCCCACTCTGGAGGAATAGTGTCTGAACCAGAGGGTGGGCTCTGTGGTATGTGTATAGACAAGTGATGGGACTCTTTTGGCTCAACAAGAAACTAGGCCTTTTTCTCTCCACAGGGTCTTCTGTCCTAGTATCTGTGGCTGATGTAAGCAAAACTGAGCTTGGAATCTAGAGTCAGTTTAAGGTCACTCCATGAGAGAGACCACCCCCTAGTCTGAGAGGACCATAGAAAGGAGCCAAGGGGCCCCCAGGAAAGTGGGGACATTCTTGCTTTGATAAGAACAAAATGGTTTTGGTTTCAAAGTATTTTTCCATCTCTTCCCTAATATGAATCTTGTACATGTGTAGAGCAGGTCTTATTGTCTCAATTTTACAAATGGGGGATGGAATCCCCTTTGAATGACAGCAAGTTAGCTGTCAGCTCAGAGCCAGGAAACAGTCTCCAGGCCACTGGCAAATGTTGGTGTGCCCCAGTGGGCTGTCCAGCACTCTGATCTCACTAAGGGTCCCATGCTCAGGGGGGATGCTGACAACTTTATAAAGAGAATTAAGGAAGACTCTGTAGCTATATTGAGACCTTTTAGGAAAAGATACATATTAATAGTAGGTAGTAAAGAAATTTTAATGCAGAAGCTCCTAACCTGCAGTTGGCTTCAGTGGCCTCTGTGTGTCCTGTGGGAACTTAACATTCCCTAAGAAAAGGGTCTAGCACTGGTGTCAGAGTATCTTTTTCTATAAATTTATAAAGTATTATACTTATATAGATGAATAATAGGGCTAAGAAAGGTTCAATATCTTGCCTACAACCACAGAAGTCAAACCAGGCCTTCTTCTTTCTTTTTTTTTGGGGGGGGGGTACCAGAGATTGAACTCAGGGGCACTCGACCACTGAGCCACATCCCCAGACTTTTTTGTATTTTACTTAGAGACAGGGTCTCACTGAGTTGCTTAGCACCTCACTAAATTGCTGAGGCTGCCTTTGAACTCAGAATCCTCCTACCTCAGCCTCCTGAGCTGCTGTGTGTTGCCACCATGCCCACTTTTTTTTTTTTTTTTTGGTACCACAGATTGAACCCAGGGATACTTAACCACTGAGCCATATTCCCAGCCATGGCAGGATCTTGTTAAGTTGCCTCACTACGTTGCTAAGGCTGGCTTTGAACTGGTGATCCTCCTGTCTCAGTCTCCTGAGTCGCTGAGATTACAGGTGTGCAACACCAAACCTGGCTTCTTTCTTAACCACACTGCTACAAGTGTTGGGGAGCACTCAGCCCACATTTGGAATAAACACACACCTAATGCTGAAGCTCCTATGACTCCTGGGTCAGTAGGCCAATGTTCTAAACATCATATTGGTCAAGATTTCTTGGGCCTCTGGAGCTTGGAGCTTCTTCCAGGCTTGTTCTGAACACTGGGTTCACACCTCCACCAGTGTCAATTCATGTTGGTGTGCCCCAGTGGGCTGCCCAGCACTCTAATCTCACTAAGGGTCCCATGCTCAGAGGGGATGCTGAGTCCCAGATGCTGCCTGTCCCAGGAATCACCCTTCCCTTACCACATGGAAGAGCTTGAAGAAGTCCACATTGGCATACAGAGTGTCTTCTATCCACTGTAGGGTGCCCTGGGAGAGGGAACACAGGGCGTCACGCACAGCCCATGCCCCATGACGCTGGCCAAATATGATGAAGCGCTCCAGGAGGGCTTCATTGCAGGCGATGTCCTTCAGCACCAGGTCTGGGACTCCGTGAGCAAACTGCAGGGGAGAGAGGCAACACTGAACTCTCCTGGTGGTAGGAAATCACTGCACCCCCCACTCAAAGATGCCCACATTCTAATCAAAGGGACCAGTGAATATATTATATTCTAATACAAAGGGAATTAAGATTGCTGATGGATTAAGTTTGCTAATTAGCTACCTAACTAGATCAGCAGGTTATTTTGATTTATCTGGTTGGGTCCAATATAATCCTTGAAACATGGAAGGAGATAGAAGAAACAGTGTCAGAAGAATGTGAGATAGGTTTGGTGGGCCACTGCTGGCCTTGCAGATTGAGGGGGACCACAAGCCAAGGAACATGGACAGTGTCTAGATGCTGGAAAAGGTAAGAAAACAGATTTTCCTTTAGATGCCCGGTACAGGATGTAGACCTCCTGGTTCCTTGACCCTCATATTTCTCTCCTCCAGACACATAAGAAAATATTTTGGTGTTGTTTTAAAACCACTAAATTTGTGGTGCTTTATTTCAGAAGCAATAGAAAATCCAGACATTCCCCCCCAAGCCTCACTTTACTAGAGAAATTTTTAAAATGTAAGAGATCCCCTTCTCTGCACATGATGCCAAGGTGCCATAGAGACCTCCCCCGAGGAGTCGTGAGAAGACACTTGTGGTGGTTCTCCCTAAATCTATCACATAAAAACACCAGATGCCCAGTGAAATTTGAATTTTGGGTGAATAATAAATAATTTTAGTGTAAGTGTGTCCCAAATAGGGTCTAAATGGAATGTAATTATGCTTGAGTTCTTTTTTTTAAAATCATTTATCTGATTTAACTAGTTATCCATTTTTGGATCCGTGACCCCCAAGGCCTGTGTATCTCACCACCCCCACCATGGACAGTGACTCCTGAAACATCATGCCCATGTTGGCCTCCAGAGGCTAAAGGGCCAAGGGAAGGGCATCAACCATGGTCAGAGGCCTTGGCCACCCAGCACAGTGCCTGGCCTCTTGGAGTCCTGGATCCACTGCAGTGAACAAGACCTTGAGAGTCATGAACGAATAAGATTGTCTGGGCACTGCGTTCTCCTCATGGCTTCCAGTTACATGGTTCTCTGGCAGAGCAGGTCCAGCTTTGCCACCTGCTGCATAGGGACAGTCAGACCCCACCTGGAAAAGCCTGGTTCCTACACAAAGTACAAGTCACTGCTGATGGTGGATCAGCTCTGTACTCCCTCACCTAGTACAAGGCTGCGTGTGCCCACAGAGCCTTCCTGCTTTGCCCACACCCACCTCTCTCATCTCTAATTCTAGAGGCTAAAACATTCCAAGATGGAGGGTATCAATCAACTCATTTTGTCCAAGCCTCTCATATTCCCAAGGAGGAAGTGATGGAAGACGAATCAAGTGACTTGAGAAACTCACATAGCCAGCCAGGGAGAAAACTGGGACACCATGAAGGTCCCACTCATTGGTCACTCTCTCTCAATGCCCACTCACTGGCTTCTTACTGTGCAGCGACCAGAAGAGTGAATGGGATGAATAAGGCCAATTCCAGCCTATTAGAGGCTCTCCAACTAGCTATACAGGCATCTAAATAGCAGAAATGCCAGATTAAACACAGTGAAACCAGCACACAGAGGAGGGATAGTTAAGTAGAGCTAGGAAAGGCTGTTAGTGCTTATTAAATCTTCACTGTATCAGGTACTGTCAAAAGCCATACCTGGGTTGCAAGTGGGTCGCCACACATGGAAGCCTAGCGGATAGAAACATCTGGTGTCTGGGAAGGACCAGTGGATATTTCCTCTGGTCAATTGCTCAGGGACATTGTGAATTTCTATCAGGCTCTGCCATGGTCCACACAGCACCTGAGATGGGTGTGATGTGAGAAGATGCCAATCAACCTGCTGACTGCAAAACACCACAAAACAAGACTTGGTCCTTGAAACCTTATCCCTGGCTTTGATATAACCTCTTAAATAAACCACCTGAGCCATCTTTTCTATGTCTAGTTCCAGCACTCATGTGGACTAGATCTATGAAGAGCTTCGCTTTTGTAAATATATTTTGGCCATTTGTGTTTTGTTATTCACTAATTATTTGAGACTTTTAAGTTTTAGAGTGGCTTACATCCTCCTGAGCAGGAAGAAGAATCCCCCAAAGAGACACTGGCTGTGGCCCCGTTATGATGATGCTCAACATGGACCTGACCCAGGAATGAATTCAAAGTAAGCACAGACTTGGTTAAATGGGGTCTGATCACCCACAGATTCAGAAGATAGAAATTAAGTTAAGCAACACCCACCTCAAAGAAATTGATGGTACACTGCAATCTAGAGCAGGGAGGTGGGAAAGTTCATTTTGATACCCTGATATAAAACCGAAGCAAATCTCTTCCAGAAAAGGTCTATCTACTCAAAATCCTTATGAAAACAGAAATGGAGGGGGGGAGACGCATTTTCTTCTGCTTTCGGTAGTACTCTAACAATTTAAACTGAGCGGGCAAATTCCCCGCAGCACCTCCCACTGCATCCTTACAGACCGCTAAGATAGAGCAATCTAACTTAAAGGCGTAACCCAGCTGAACTCTAATCACGCAAATTTAGAATGCTGGGACTGACAGAAGGCTCTAACTGCGGATTCCAGCAAGGTCTGTAACCTACATGAGGTGGGCCAGCAGTGTCTCTGTCTCTTTGGTACCTGCAAAAAGGATGGCAACTCTAACTAACTTGGGTACCAAACACAACCTACTTTGATTTATCCTGTCCGGTGATTGGTCCATTGCTAGCTAAAGCCCACCTTTGGGTTGGAAATTATTTGCTGTGTGGGTCTGTCCACACACAGGAAGAAATCTATCCATAGTTGCAGAGACAGCTACTGCTCCCTGCCAACAACGTCTGCCTTCTGTCTGGGCTGGGCTGCTAACCCAAAGAGGAGACAAAACGCCGCCGCCGCCCACCAGTAGTGCTGAGGTTTGCAGCAAGGAGTCAGCAAAAGGCAGGGAGAACCAACCTAAAAAGCCTCGCGACTGTGCCGCAGAGGGGATACAGAGTCGGGAGGCGCAGGCAGACAAGCTGATGGCACGAAACAAAACAGGGCAAATAGCAATGTGAGCGGTGGCCGCGGAAGCCAGACGCATAACAGCGGCGGCAGCAACGGCATTGACCCGGAGGATGCTGAGGGTGGCCAGAAACACTGGAGCTTGCCCCTTCGTTGGCCGGGACAGCAATGGCGGCTCACCGGGCCCATGAAAAAGGCAGTCATAGCTTAGATAGCTCCCAGCCTGACAAAAGCCGCCGGTATTTTAACTTCAGATAGGCGAATATTGGAGGCACTCGAGGGGTGGGGACCCCAGAGCTTCAGGTAGAATTTCAGGTAACATGGAAAACACGGGAAAATAGCTCTGGCCACGCGACCGCAGCATCATGGTACACCCCTTCAAGCCCCGCCTCCTGGCCTTCCTCTGGCTTCCTCTTGGTCCCTCCCGCCCATCCCTAGGGCGGGACTTCCGCCCGCCCTCCAGCATTGCGGAACCTGTATCTCACAGCATTGCTATTTCTCACAAGCAAACACCCAGCTAGAAGTTTTTCTTTCGTTGACGAGGGATTTTCTTGACAGACAAAATGCAAGCCAACGAACTCCTGCGTCTTTAATAGTGGCCTTGTTCTTAATTCTTTCCGGATGCTGAGTTGAATAAACTAATTTCTAATCCCATTAACCAGGTTTCTCCAAGAAACTTGATTTCCCATTCTCTCTACAGCTGTGCTATTAAGGAAGCGTTGCAAAAAATTATTACGTTTTCTCACACATTATTTTTTGTTTTCTCACATTATTTTTCTTTTTTAGAGATACTAGAGGTAAATTTTGACCATTATGAGAACAAAAGCCGGCAATCTAAAATGTTTAATCTCACAACGTTCTGATGATGGCCAAAATTTTTATTCTTATGATTTCTAAATATGTAAACACAATGATTAAATATGTATATGCACAAAAATTCTATTTTAACTTCATTAATGTCAAAGTTTGCATAGATAAAAAGAGTGCACTCATAATATTTAAACTAAAATAAAATAGATCCAAATACTTTTAAGTCACATGACTTAATAAGGTTCAATTTAAGGTGGCTGATTAAATTTTAAAAAGTATATCTTCACTTCTTAATACATATTTTTCCAGCTACTTAAGTAATCTATATAATCTTTAATTCATAGGGTAATTAACAGATGCCTATTCTAATAATTTTCCTTCCACAGGGAATACATAACTCATATTATTATATACAATTATCTGATGCCCTTCTTCAAAGAAAAATAATATTTAATTCATGGTAAATGTAATTCATTATATAAATGCCTATTTCAAAAGATACTTAGTAACTTACAAAGTTAAAATGCAAATATCAAGTAATCTTAACTCTAAACTATTGTTTAGGTTTTCATAAAGTGGTAAACATATAATTCTATGTACAAAGGTGTCCAAAAATTTTGGCTACATTTCCATTGAAATATTTTTTCTTATTAAAATATAATAATTTATCTAGATTCAAAGATTTACAGGAATTGTTTCAAAATGTAACCATAAAGAAGAAGTCTAGAAGGAAAGAAAGAAATGCTTCTACAGAGAGAAAAGAAAAATTGGAGAATCCTACAAGGAAGAAAGAAAACATCTCTGGGTAAAAAGTCTTTATGTTTGAAGGCTTTAATGATAGAAAGAAAAAGAATTTTCTCAATAGAGGAATCTTTGTATGATTATATACAGAAGGTCTAAATAGGTGATGTAGAATGAGTAAATAGAGAAAAGATTTGTGTGTGGCTAAATTGGTTATAAGTACATAAAACAATCAATTAAAAATATTTGAGGCTTTTCCCTAAGAGCAAATATTCGTGTGCTTATATAAACAAAAATTTTAACCTATACATTGAGATGACAAGAACTTCTTAAAGCATTAATCTACTCTCATTCCAATAGAATAATTACTTATGCCTAGTAAATTTTATTATTTAAAAAAGGACTAATTTTTAAGAAATTAAGATTCATACATTTTTGATTGAATGTTAATGTTTTCAAATACCATCTTGAGTTCTAAGTTTCAAACTTCTCTTTGAAAGCTAAAATTAATTAATTTAAAAACATCAATATAACTATAATAATTATTACTGATTCTTCTATATCAATTGTATCTCTGTTTCCTAAATATATCAATCCTTAAAATATAAGGTTTAAGAGAATATTTTACTAAAATATTGGTCTACAAACTAGTTTTTATAATGTTCTCTTACCAACTCATAATAATAACAAAATAATTAAAAATCTAATCATATGAATTATTCTTCTATAATTATATAAAGTAAAACTTATGTATTATTACACTGAGAAGTAAGCTTAGCTATATTTTTAAAAGACAGTTGAGAGACACTAGCTTATTTAAAGGGTAACATAATGTATAAAAATATTTTAACATCTGCTCTCAAGAAGGGATTAAAGATTCTCTTAAATTTGTCCATTTCATATTTTGGATAGTTTATATTGACTCAAAGAATTACATACCAAAGTTTATAGACTGATATTCAAATGAAAAACTAAAATTAATTTCAAGATTAAAACATTTTATGTTACAAAAATTAAGAAGTATACATAAGAATCTCTTAGGGTTCTACTGTTCATAGTTAACTGCGGTTGGCATCTAATTCATAGCCTTCTAAACTGTTTTCTATACACATAGATATTCATATTTTATATAAATATAGGATCATATTAGTATTTTCAAAATTTATAAAATCATTTACACTGTATATATGTATATATATATGTATATGTATACATAAAGATTGTTTTTGCGTAAGTCCCTTGAGATGTCATTGCTGGGTCAATGCCATGTAAAATTTTAAAATTTTCTAAATAATCCACTAAATCATTGTCCTGAGCAATACTACCAATTTACTTTTACCCATCAATATTTAAAGTACTGATTCCCCATAATTAGATCATCATTAGATTTAATGATAATAATTTTTTTCCTGAATGGGGAAGTGAAAAGCTATTCACTGTTCTATTTTATTTTTCATTATTAGTAATAAATAAAATTTTTTTCTTATGTTCACTAAACATATATAATTCTTTTTTTTTTTTTTTAAAGCAATCCTCTTTAGGCTCACACCCAGAAGTATTGCCTTTTTTTTTTTTTTTTAAGATAGAGGGGGAGAGAGAGAGAGAGAGAATTTTAATATTTATTTTTTAGTTATCGGCGGACACAACATCTTTGTTTGTATGTGGTGCTGAGGATCGAACCCAGGCCGCACGCATGCCAGGCGAGCGCGCTACCGCTTGAGCCACATCCCCAGCCCAACATATATAATTCTTATTCTAAAAAGATATCTATTTATGTCTTATATACCTTTATAGAGGCCAATCATACATTTGATAAAAATTAAGCTTCCATTTACTATAATACCTTTTGAACTCAATAATATTGGCTTTGACATGCCTAATAAGTAACTCTTGCCAATTTTTCCGGCCAACTAAAGACGGTAAGTCTCTTCTTGTACTATATGAGGCCTTTGTGTACAGTTTAAGGCTAATGATACTCTGATTTATATAAAAAAATATAAAATATATTAGACATAGGAAATTATTAAAATGCATGAAACAAATTTGGAGAGGTATAGATCAGTAATGTGCTAGGACTGTAGAAGAGGTTGCCTGGTACTAGGAAGAGAGCAGCCCAGGAAAGCAGAGATTGGCCCTTCTGTGGCCATCATCAGATTCTGTACCATAGGAAGAGTGACCTCAGTCCACAGAAACTGCACTGCCCATTCTCAGCAGGAGCTGAAGATATTTCAGAGACTGCCTTCTCTTCAGGAGGGCTGCTCAAATATACCTTTCAGAATGTGCTTCCCTGACCATCCCTCTTAAACTTCTCCCTCCCACACCCCTTCTGTCCCCTCCCTACAGCTCCTGACAAGCTGGAGACACATGCCAGAGTCTCTGTGTCTGACTACCTCCTATCACCCCACTGGAATGTGAGCTTCTGAGCCAGGGGCTTTGCTTGCCTCCTTCACACTGTATTCTACGTCCCTACAAGGGTCCCTAAATATTTAATTAGGGAATGAATAGACCTCCGTTTCCTTAGCCCCTACAGGGGAGGTTGAGCCTCAGGATGGCTTAGCTTCCTCCCAGTTATGAAAACCTGCTGAGCTTTAAATCTTGTGAGGTCATGTGTGCTTCAGATCTGGTCATCTCAATGACCCCCAGGTATTTTTCCAAATATAGGGCATCAGTCATGGATGCTGAATGTAAAAGTGATAAACCCAGCCTAATTCCCTCTTAAGATCGGGAGCCATCTTGCCACAAAGACATGAAAAGTTAATTTCGGCTTTAGTATAAATTACTGCGATTTCTAAATTTGCTTGGAATACCTGCCCGTGCCTTGAACTCACCCATGCCCGGCTTTTTCTGACCAGATAACAACCCTCTCCAAAACTTTAGTGGCGCCTCATAAATTCTGGCTCTCCCTAGCCAGATAACGACCCTCTCTGAAGCCCCAATGACGCCTCATAAATTCTGATGTCGGGACCAGCTAAATTATTAACTAACTTTTGTGTTATGCTTGTCACAATTTTGTTATCTGTAAGTTCTCAACACCTACCCCCCCCATTTGTGTAACTTTCTGTGCTATAAAGCTGTACTCCTAGGAGGCTGCAGGGTTGTCTTCTGTTCCTGTGGTTTTCGGGGAGAGAACAGCCCTGACCAGTTGGAATTATAAGCTTGCTTTAATTTGATTTCAATTGGAGTTGGTGGTCTTTTCTTTGCATTGTGGTCTAACAAAAGCAAGAAAGAATAGAAAAACAGAGGTCTCCCTTAGTAGGCATAGTGCTTACCCCTCCCCTCCAGAGACCACTGACCAAGGACACCCACTTACCTGTTCCACACGGACTTGGGAGTTGACCAGTAGGTGGACAACTGAGCTGGACAGGCCAATGTTTTTAATAAGAAATAGGGTCAGTGTCTCTTCATCTTTCAGGATATCCTGAATGCGTATTCCTCGTCCTGTGTATTAATGAGAAAAATAATAGGGTGTTGAAGGGGAGATGGGTCAAAAAAAGGAACATAGGTAGAGCTGGTGGGAAATGTTCTAACTAGGCACTCAGGATAATGCTCCATTCTTGGGTTCTCTGGGAGCAGCTGGAGGTCCAGCCTCTTGCCTGTGGTCATCACCAACACAGTCACAGTATCTACTGTGGAGGCAGCTGGACAGAGTTCAGTGGGAAGGCACAGAAGGTGGGGAAAGGTAGCCCAGGGTGGGTGTCAGATGCTTTGTGGGGCTGGTGCAGGACAGTGGCTCTCAACAGGGGACGAGGGGTGGAGGAGGTAGAGCTGGGCAATTTTGTCCCTGGGGAATATTTGGCAATATCTGTAGATAAATTTAGTTGTCACAGCTGGGACAGTGCTCATTCCACAATACATAGCACAATTCCTCTCCAAACAAAGAATTATCTGGCCCCCCAATTTTAATGGTGCTGAGGTTGAGAAATCCTGGTCTAGGATTGGAGGAGATAGGTCATTTGTCCATAGTGCAGTTGTCATGGGGTAGAGGACGCTTCTTGGAGTTTCTGTACTTTCAGCTCAGGCTCCAAGCTCAGGACACTGGTGTGGACAAAGGGGGATGGGGTATGACGGGCAAGAAAGGCTTCAAGTGGAAAGAGAAGAGCCAGCCTCTTGATACTGTTGTTGGGTTTTTGTTTGTTTCTTGTTTTCCACTGGGGAGTAGGGACCCCCGAGGGAGCCCCTCCATCCCTCCTCCCTGTTGTTGCTTCCTACCTGGGTATCCAGCTCCTCCTCTCTTCCTGTACGACCTCTGTGTCTGCATGATGGCCACAGCCTGGCCTCCCTGCCCTTTGCCTTTCCCTCACCATGCACCTTTCTTCTGCTGCACTTGACCCACGGTCACCCTTGGGCTCGTATTCTCACCTATCCTGCCTGGCAGCCTTCACAATCTTAAAGTTGAATATTTCACTCTCTAATTATCAATCCTTTCATCTTGCTCATGTTCTCAGTCACTTAAAGAGGGTCATGGAATGCACCGAGACCTTTATTCCCTGCTTCTCTATCCCCTTCCCTCAGCTCCTCTCAGTACTTGTGACTTCTCAAGGATCCTTCTGCAGCCTGGGCCTGGTGCATATAGTACAATCACTTTCTTCAACCTCCTTGCCTCCTTGACCTCCTCTGGGGCCTCTCCCCAAGCTCCATTACCCAGCTCTCCACCTGACCTGGCTCAGGGCCTGGATGCCAAATATCACTGGGAAAATTGTACAATTGTACATTTTAATGTCGTGGTAAACATGTGGTCTGTGACCTCCACTGCTCCTCAGTTTTCCTTAGCATTGCCACAGTTTCTGGTTTGCTGTCACCCTGGGACTCCACACCTTACCATACTCAGCAAATCTCTCTTCCCCAGCGTCTAGCCCTTGATTCAACCTGTGTTTCTCAGAGCACCATCTCTCTCAGTGTTTTTCTTTTTGTCTCTGGATTCACATGGAATGGAACCCTTGGAGCCCTCCTGCCCAACTTCCTACCTTCTAGGCTGGTGCAGAGAAACAGGCATTTTCAACAAGGCAATTCTCATCAGCCTTTGCAGCCCATCTCTTCCTGCCTCCTCCGGTATCATTTTCTATCAAATTCCTCCCTTTCTCCTAGATGGGTGAGGCAGGTGTGAGGCCAGCAAACGTTGAGAACGCTGAAGCCCAGCTCACCTGCAATTCTTTCAGGGTGATTCCGCAGGGTGTCCATGAGCTGGGACAAGGTGCGGAGCTCTGTCCAAATCTGGCCAAAGTGCTGGCTTTCTGGTGCATTCATGAGGAGTTCTTGAAAATCTCGATACACTCTTGCCAAGCTGTAAGAACAAAACCTCATCAATAAAAAAATAACTGTCATTTTCATAATATTATTAATACCTTGTGCTATTTGTTAAAATAGGGTGCTTAGCTACTATGTTATGTCTATTTACCATACTGCCATGACAAAAGGAAAAAAGAGAATTTTTTTCTTTTTTCTTTTTACTCTCTTGCAAATGTAGGACAACAGATTGGGGTACTGAGTGATTTGTCCAGTCCTCCAGTTTGGGCAGGGCCAGGTAACTTGTTAACCCCATGCTATCTACATCACTTGTCCTGAGTAACTTTAAACTTGGTAAAGCTTTTTAGAATATTGATGTTGGTGAATATTACTGGAGGTTCTTCCAGCCTTCTCCCACTTCTCTGAGACCTACCCCATATACATTTATGGGGGTAGGCTCTGACAGCCATGCTTCATCCACAAGGAACACCCTGTGTATGTGTGTGCACACGCATACACACACATTCACACCCCTTTACTAAGGCTGATTGGACAGGGAGAATAAAGTTGAGACAACCAAAGTTATTCCCAGGAACTTAAACAGGATTCAGGGTGCTCTTCTGATTGCTCAAGTTAAAATGCTGTGAACTGGGTGATTGGTACAGCCTGGCCTTCTAGGAGGAGGGGAGACTGGTCCATGGAGAGAGGTGTGTGGATGAACAGAGACAGATCGAGACGCTGGACCTCAAAGTTCAGTCTGGAAGAGCTGAAGAAGCAGCTCCTGACAGCTCTCCAGATCTTGCCCCTCCTCTCCTGTGGCCTGCCTTTACCCTTGTCTTTGTGAGAAGGTCTAAATCATGTATCCAAATCATGTATTTCTTCTGGACCTTAAGCTGATTGGAATGGGTTCTGTGCCTTGCAAGTAAAAATACCTTGAATAAGTCATTATTTCATCTATAATGTGCATATGAAATGTGAATCCTGCTTTCCTGGTTCAAATGTCAAGAACAGGTGGAGTTGGGAGCCCCCTTCCCAACTCCTGCCCCTCAGTCTTCCCCAGTAACTAACACACACACACACACACACACACACACACACACACACACACACATGGCTAGGGCCAATCCCAATTAGGTGGAACTTAGTTGGAGGAAGTAGGTCACTGGGGATATGCCCTGGAAGGGTTTGTCTTCTCCCAGCCCCCACCCCCACCCCTTTGCTGCCACAACCTGGGAAGCTTCCCTCTACCATGTCCTTCCACCATGATGTTCCCCTTCACCTCAGGTCCAGAGCAATGGAACCAGTGGCCCATGGACTGAAACTTTACAAGCCAAAATAAACTTTTCCTCCTCCAACTTGTTTGTGTGGGGCTCTTTGGTTACAGTAATGAAAATTTGACTAAGGTATCTTCTAATAAAAAAACTGAAGTCACCAAATACCTCACTTTCCATCTGACCTGGTATGTATAGGAATAGGATCCAGCCCAATCCCCTGTAAGCTCTTGTAGGTGATCTTCAGATTTAACCTTTGCAAAGTGCAGCTCAAGGTCAAAACAGCAGATGGATGATGGTTCTGTCCATATTCCTGAGCCTCTGTGTATAGGTTATGCCCACATTATGTCCTCCCAGTACTCTAAGAGGGAATTTCAAAGGTAAACTCTCATCCTAAGGGATTTGACTTGAAATTCAACCTCAGACCAGAAATTATTAACCTGGACTCCACAAGTTCCCTGAGCTCACACACACAATGTCTGTCGAGATTTGTGCTCCAATTGGCTCCAATTTTTGTGGGAGAGGACTTATCTATTTTCATCAGCTTTTTGGAAAGGTCTTTAGCCCCCAGTTTAAGAATCACTACCCTCAAGCCATATCCCAAGATCCTGCCTCTCAAAGGCACCAGTGGCAATTATAACAGAGGATTTGGAATTGGTCATTTCCCTCTAAGAAGTAAACTTCACCATGTAAGCCTGATTTCTTTTATCCTCACAAGAATCTGTGACATTTTTTCTTTAGCCCTTAGATGGCTAAGAAGGTTTTTAAAGGAACAGAGGGGTGTTGAGTTGACTGGGGTGAAAAGTGAGGGGAACCAAGTTTTTCTCACTCAGGGAGTCCACCCAAGAAGATGGATGAGCATGAGACAGTGAACATGTCACAGCAAGGGATTGTCATCAGATCCCAGATCACATTTTGGGAATATAAGAACGAAGAAATCATGTCCATGTGGACTTTATTTGAATATTCTCCCCAAGTGCCCTGCCAGCTAGTAGAATGCTTCAGGAAAGAATCCTCCTGGGCCCTGAAAGGTCAGGGGTTCACCAATCCACGAGGCTTGCTTTCAGTACTACAGGCTCTGCGTGTGCAGGCACATGCATCTACTCCTGTGCATGCGGGGAACATCTTGGTACTTACATGGAGTTGTTGTAGTTTGACACAATTCCTGGAGATTCTCCTGGGGTGGGGCTTTGAAAACAAGGATTGTTCACATTGCAGAAAATCCCCTGGAGCCACGGCAACATTCCTGCTGAGGGCATTGCCTTGTTGGGAAAATGACCTTTGAAACAGGAAATGAAGACAAGAAGGATTTAGTTATGGAGACCAAGCAGGACACAGGCCCTAGGAGCAGGTCCTTTTGGGGAAAGAGCAGGGCCCCTCTGGTGCTCTGCTTTATTCATGGCTTAAGAAGCAGGAGCATTTAAACTAGGCCAGGCCTATGTGGGGTGCTGTAGCCAATCTGTTCTCTCAACCTCTGGTAGAGTGAAGAGACAGACAAATGTTGTCACAGAGGCATGGACAGAATTGCGGGGGACAGATCACTCTGTGGTAAGAGGTGTGCAGAGGTGTTAGCTCAAGGAGGCTCCACCAGGCTGCTGGTGCCTGAGGAGAGGAGGCCCCTGTCTTCCTTCCGCAACTGTGTATGGAGCACCTACCCCCCATACATACTGCAGTGTTGCAGAATAATGGCTCCTGGCTGGGTGAGGTGGGGAATTAAGAGTTTGCTGGACAGGAGGCTGACTGAGAGATGGAGGCTAGAAACTCATGAACAGAGGTCAAAGACCAGGACCAGGGGACCAAGCAGTTTCCAAAACTTTTCAGGCCTCCACATCAGAGGCATCTTCTCTCTTCAGAAGGTGCGAGCTTTCCAAGAGCATGATAGTACAGAAGGAGCCCCATCCACAAGGTTTATTAAAGGTCCTCAGATACATCAGGGATTCAAGCAATAATATTTTAGTAAGTATGATTATATAGCTTACCGTCACCTAATTTTTCTCTAGCATTATGTATAATATATCCCTGAATCAATTTTCTTTCATTGAAAAATATACTTAAATTAGGGAGGATAGGAAGGGCAACAGAATAGATTAGACAATATGATTGATGTATGTACATTCCATGTATGTATTATATGTCAAAATGCATTCTACTGTCATGTATGACTAAAAAAATAAATAAAAATTAAAAATAATAATAAACTTGTTTAAAAAAAAAGAAAAAGAAAAAGAAAAATATACTTAAATTGGTCTAAGTTAGAGAACTATCTGTAGCCTCTTCTCTTTTAAATGGGTAAGAGTTTAGGTATATGTTAAAAAAAAAGATTTGCACATTCTTTCCGTATTATGTATACATATTTGCTTAGAATGTGTAGGATTAAAAATTAGAATTTGTGTAAAGCTGATGGATCTATTTACTGGTACATCATGTGCCCCCACCCCCAAAACCTTCCTGAATGACAGGCCCTGCAGAGTCTCCCAGGATGCTCCAGGCTCACATTCGTGATGACTGTAGAGCGGGTTGGCATTCCTCAGCCAGATCAAGACCAGAAACAAAGATAAAGGCCACACGAGTTCCACCACAAAGCGAATCTGGAGAAACAAAACACAGAGAGAAAGACCAGTGGCACTAACATGTTCACTTCTTCTCGGCACTGTCTAGCTAGCTGTAGGACTTGGCTTGTGGTAGGGTATGTGCTGCATGCTTTTGCCAAGTGACAGACCACATAGACCACAGCGGTCCCATAAGATTATAATGGAGCTTCCAAATTCCCATTCCCACCTTTGTAACATTGTAGAGTGGCCCATTACTCACAAGTTTGTGGTGATGCTGGTGTAAACCAACCTACAGTGCTGCCAACTGCAGAAAAGTATAGCACATGTAACTATGTGCGGTACGTAATACTTCACAATGATAACAAATGACTATGTAAATGATTTATGTATTTATCACTATCCTTTTTTCATTATTTTAGAATGTACTCCTTTCATCCATTCATTTATTTCTGTACTCATTCAATCATTGTTTATTGCATGTGCAGGGTCTTGGGGTAGAATCGTTACCAAAAAGTTCCCTGCTCTCACACAAACTCCTGCCAAAAGGTGTCAAAATATTTCTGTTGAAAAAAATATATGTTTTTTAGTTGTTGACAGACTGCAATGTCATTGTTTATTTATTTTTATGTGGTGCTGAGGATTGAGCCAATGCCTCACATGTACTAGGCACGTGCTCTACCACAGAAGCTCATTCTATCCATACTAAATGTTCTTTGTAAGACAGTGTGTGGAGTTGCAGCACCAGCTATCTCTTAGATCTCATGCTCACTGGTCTCGTGATTGTATTTCTGTTGTGCTTGATTTAATCTTGTGTTTAATCTTGTGTCCTTTGCCATGGCCTTAGGAGAAACAGACTACAACACACACACACACACACACACACACACACCACTATCGAGCCATATAGCATAATAAGGACATACCATTGAGCTTTGTGCAATGACACTCTGGTGTTCACAGAATGATGAAATCTCCTAACGAGGCAGTTTCTAGTATGTGTCCCATTGTTAAGTAATGTATAATTGCATTGACCTGAAGAACTTTCTTCTCTGTTTCTTGCTCCTATACTACCTCTACTTTGATTTATTATACAATCAGCTTTTTTTTTGTATCTGGGATTGAACCCAGGTTGGGTTTAACCACTAAGCCACATCCCCAGCCATTTTTATATTTTATTTAGAGACAGGATCTCTCTGAGTTTTTCAGAGCCTTGCTAAGTTGCTGAGGCTGGCCTTGAACTCTTGATCCTCCTGTCTCAGCTTTCCAAGCTCTAGGATTACAAGCATGGTCCACCACATCTGGCCATGAAACAGCTTTTGTGTCCAGCTGGGTTTTACTCTGTGTCTAATTTGGAAAACAGCATTAACCCAAGACTGATTATAAAGGGTCATGGAGGTAATGGGCTTCAGTCTTTGCAGATGATGCTATATACATGGATGCAGATTTTGATTCAGTAGACCCCAGCAGATCTTGTATTTCTTGCAAGTTTTCAGGTAATTTGGTGCCACGGGTTATAAAGACCTTGTTTTAAGCTGTTATTCTGCAGATGAAGAAAGAAACTCAGAAAGGGCAGGTGATCTGCAGTGTCACATCAGCAGTGACAGCACAGGAGCCAAAATCCAGTCCCCTGCTCCCAGGGCCAGTGCTCTTTCTGCACTTCCTTGCAGATTGAACAAACTGCACCCCACAAAGGTGTGTACTGGCTTTTCACCTTCCATTCTGGATCCTCCAGGTGGGGAGCAGTTTTAGCAAGATAGTAATGTGAGTGACACGTGCGAAGTATGAAACTAGAAGTTGTTTCTGGTGTCTTCACCAAGGAAATGAGACAACCATTCCAGATTCTCCACTTATGACTCCTCCTAAGACAATAGTTTGCAATGTTGGCTTTCTCCCAAGTGAGTTGTGCTGCCTTCCATGGAGCGACATCTTCCTGGGGATGGTCTGGAATGTTAAACACTGGTGATGATTTGGGAGTGTGAAGATCTAGGTTACAGCCACTTTCAGGCATGCTCAACCTCTGGGCCTCAGTTTTCTCATCTCCGGATTAGGACTATTTTGTCTTACAGTGTACACTGAGGATTAAGAGTAGATCATTCTGGGACCAAGTTTTATCCAGCCTCTTCTCTCAGCTACGAGATCTTGGGTAATCTGCTCAACTTCTCCAGGCCATGGGTCTCATTTAAAAAATGATGGTGATAGGAGGACCTGCCACCCAAAGGAATTGTGATAATAAAATCAAGAGCCCAGCACAAGATAATCTTCAACAAATATAAACCATTGATCACTGCCTCATAGGATTGTCACAAGTGTCACAGGGTCACTGTAGGTGACAGCACATTGTAAAGACAGATGAGCAAGAAAACACAATTAAAATCGTTGGAACCTCTTAGGCCTGCCCTCCATGTCCATTCCAGCCTCCTCCCTTTCTAGATTTGGAACTGCACACTCGCCAGTTTGAAAACATGGAGCTTCCTGAGAAACAGACCACACACTGTCTCCTGATCCTTACACAGAACAGGGCTTGCACAGAGGGAGGGATGAGTCCCAGTCTGCCTCCCTGTCTCATGGCTGAGATTTGGAAACCCACACTGTATATTTCATCTCTCTATGATATACTAGTCCCACGCTCTCTCCTCCACTCACTCAGGCTCTCCCATCTCTGTGCGAGGCATTGTGATTCAAAGTCCATCACAGTGGGAGGCAGATCAGAATCCACCTTCCTTCCTTGGCCTTAAGACTAGTACTGCTCTGCTTGGTTTCCTTTCCACATCTCTGAATTAGGGCTTCTGTTTCTGTCTGTAAGTCAAATAATCACCTTCATTAACCTAGATCAGCAGCTTTCAGGGTCCTACAGGCTGGAATCACATGGGGACCTCAGGTCATGCCCCATGGGACATCAGGATATTTTTTTAAAACACCTCTCAGGTCATTTCAATATCCAGCCAAAGCTGAGAACCACTGGTCTAGTGGTTGGTAATTTTTTTTTTTTAGTGGTTGGTAATTTTGAACAACATGGGTGGACTGGTCAGTGGGACTGTGCTGAGTGTGGGTGTGTGACTTGGAGGGGCTGCCCCTCACTTCCCTTCTGCACAAAGCCATTTCTTGCGCAGGCGCAGGTCTGTTCTCACAGCAGCCTCTCCTCCCTCCTCCAGAATTGTGCTCCAACCCCACCCGAGAGCTGCATCCTTGATCTTGAGGCTCAACTGTGCACAGGCATACCCTAAGGAGGAATTCCACAGTGTAACTAAAAACGTGTTTTCAGAGCTGCTTGGACTCCCCCTCCCCTTCCTTTTAAACATGTTTGTAACTTTAATTAAACCCAGTCGAAGTTCAGAAGGGATCTGTGGAAATTATTTTGTTCTCTCTCTCTCTCTCTCTCTCTCTCTCTCTCTCTCTCTCTCTCTCTCTCTCTCTTTTACTGAATTGGTATTTCCTTGTCCTCTCTATGTGTGTGTGTGTGTGTATGTATGTGCGTGCGCATGTTCACACACAAGCACATGTTTTCCTCCACCTCCTCTCCTCCTCTGGGAACCATTCTATCTATTAGTAGGAGGACAGGTTTCTGGCAAGGGCAGAGTTTGGCTTGTTATTTTAACTTAGCCAGTTAGATTTACTTCCCTCCCTGTCTGTTTTCAATTTAAAAGGGGGTAGCCAGGGCTTGAAATAGCTGCACGGTTCCCCCTTCTGCACTGAGAACCCAGACAGGACTCAGCTTGGTCAAATACCACCCAGGACCTGGCTGCTGCACTGGGAGCTGACTGCCCAGCCTCCTGAATTTGTCACATTCTCTTCCCTTGACACTGATCCTCCTATTACCCCCAGACTTGAAGGCCACAACAGATGCCCAGGTCTGGAGTCCATGAAATGATGAGCACCCTACTCCCATGAGCCCTCAGGTCTTCCCCTAATATCCTCCTGTCCTGACCTGGAAGGTAGGACCAGGTACAGACACCATGGAGCCCTAGGCTGTGAGCTCTCAGGGCCAAGAGACATAACTAGTCATCTTTATAAACCTTCCTGATGCTCTGCCTGGTCCACAGCCAGTATGGGCCATCGTGTGTGTGTCTCATGCAGTGGGAGCAATCTCATCATGCTGAAGCGTGAGCTCCTGGGGAAATCAGGTCTAGCCTCTCACCCAAGGTCTCCTCTGAGCTCCCAGAGCTCACCCGCACACCAGCTGGGGACTTCCTTCAACTCCATAGTTGCACTCAGGATTCTGCTTAGTAATTAAGCATGGGAACATCTTCCCGCCTGGCTCTGAATTCCATGAGGGCAGGGGCCATGCCCAGTTTACCTTGGTTCAGGGCCAGTATTAACTTACATTTATTGTTCTGGTGGATGATAAATAGTCTGCACTCATCTTGGTGATCTCTATGCCCTACCCATTAGATAGTGCTGGTTACAAGGGGACAGTGCAGTGAGATGGCCATGCCTGCTGTCCTGGAGTCATGGTTTGAATCCCAGGTCCAGCCAACCAGTAATCAATCCTTCCCTGAGGTCTCAATTGCCTCATTTGGACCCACAGGGAAAATCAAGCTCGCTCTCCTGGAACTGTTGTGAGGATTCAATAAAGCAATACGCTTAGTACTATGCCAGGTGCTTAGCAACACTTCTCAAAGATACTAACAAGAAAAAAAAGAGTGTGGGGAGGAGGAGAACTAGGACCTGAAAATGATCTTCTTATACCCTGGGCATTGGGAGTGGAGGAATGGGGAAAATTGTTATCTGTTCTCATTTCTCACTCTTACTCTGCTCATAAAAGTAAACACTTAAAACCATGGAAGTTTAAGGAATTAAAAACTTTGGAGCCAAGTTATGGCCTGGTGTGTTGTACTCTTCTTAGAGTCACCATTTTCTAGAGGCAGAAGTTTCTAGAAAAGCCAAAAGCTTTGGCAGGAGACACAGACCCCTCTCAGAGATAATGAATGTCTCCTTCTTACCCAGAAATCCTGGAAAATTCTGGAATATGGTAGCCAACTTGAGGCACACCAGAGATCTCTGTTTCCAGGACATTAGGATGGCATCAGATGACTTTCAACCCAGACCTATGTCCAACCCTGACTGATGACCCTGAACCAAGGTTCCTGGCCTGCACCGCTCCATCCCCTGGGAGCACACTGTGGAGATTTCAGAACAGGAAGAGACCGACCTACACCAGGGAAGGAGAGCAGAGATTGTGAGGGCACCTGGGCCAAACCCAGGGTCTGGAAGTAGGTTGTGCTTTGTAACCGCAGTGTGCTTGCCACAGCAATGGAATCATTGCAGGCCAGTGGCTACAGTCCTCTGGTTTGTTTTCTTTGAGCGCCACAAAGGGGACATTGAGAGTAAAGTGAACTGAGAATCTTAATTCATTATGACTAAGAGAGAAAATGTGAAAAATGGCAGAGTGGATTTTCCCTGGCAGTCTATAGACATATGCATCAGGTGGGCAGGGACTAGATGCTTTTATTTGCCACTGTATACTCAGCACGGGGCACCATGCCTGGGGACAATTATTTGTTGATGGAAAGAATAAGTGAAAATTGATGAATAAATTGAAAAATGAGTCTTGTTCACATTTTGTCAATATTTTCACTCAAGAAGGGAAGATTCTAGAAGAAATCAAGTTTCTGATCAAGTGTCTGGGTTCCTGGGGGCCACAAACAACTTCAAGGATAATTTGAAGTGACACCTACTTTGACAAAGGAAAACAGCCTGAGGATAACTATGTGTCCCCACCCCCACCGCCCCTGGCCTGTGTCTTGTGTGAGACACACACACAGGCCTCTGAACCATCTTGTGCATGGTTGGAGTGTGTCTCTCACTGCTCCCCATTCCTGCTAGTTTATTGTCCTATATCTGGACACTCTGCAGGCGGGGATCCCTCAACCTGGGGGGCCTCAGAGACTCTGCAGCAGCCTCTGCACAAATCCTAATTTCAGCTCCACAGAATTTGACCTTTGCTTCCATCTTACCGATCCCACTTTTTTCCCTCAGTCCTCAGTCCTCAGTCCCAGGAGGTAGCTGAGTCCTGCAATTCTACCTCCAGGATACCTCAGTTCTTTTACAACGCAGTTGCCAGCTTCTAGCTAAGCTAACACCTTTCCATATTCAGCTCTCTCTGACCAGACTCTGACAAGGTATTCACTTGGCCCATTTCTTCCCTAACATTCCCCCTGAACCCTTCCCCACCCCTATTCCCATCCTGAACTGAGGCTTGGGGCAGACACTGTTCCCTTCCTCCCTATGGCCAGTCTTCCTCCCATAGCTGACTGGCTCAGTCTTTCTAATCTCAGCTCTCTCCAGCCCTCCCTGCTCCCCTCCCTTGTCCCACTTATTAGCTCCTTAAGTCACTGGCAGGACTCTGCAAGGCTGTGGTAAAGTGCATTGTTTATAGTTACATACTCACTCCTCACCCCCTCCCAGATAAATTGCACTGAGGCCAGGTGCCATTTATACATATGCTCTTGGAGTTCTCTGGTCTCCTGTGGCTCCTGGGATTTTGGCCAATGCTACTTCATATTGCTCTAGGTGTTAAAATATACTTCGGATTTCCCCAGCTACCATAAAAGCCAGTCCAGGGGCTTAGCGTCTCATGATTTTACGTCCCTAGAGCATCCCAACCCCAAGTCTGCTAACAGAAGAGGCTCAGAATATATACTCATTGAATCTAAGACGCCACTAGTTGTAAGATGAACTGTCATTTTTCTGTACCACGAAGAAAGAAAAACATGTTTGGTTAAAGTAACTTGATTGTGAGCTGCCTCCCAGTTTTGGAATTGTCAAAATGTGAAAACCCAGTGTGCCTCCTGGAATCAATGGAATAGCAATCCCTGGGCTGGGGACCTAGTGGAGGGCATTCTTGTTTTCCTTTGATCTTGTTCTGCAGGGATTAGGGTTCTCCCCACTGTGTGGGGTGGATACTCCAGAAGATGGTGGACTGGGCTGACGAGTGTGAAAACCAGGGGAGTGGGGACAGGGATGGGCATTCAGTAGATTCATCTGTGTGTGTGTGGTAGGGGCATATTTTAATGTGGCCAGGGACAGAGCAGCATGTCATCCTGTGAAGGGCACAGGTCACAGGCTCACAGAGGAGTCACACAGATAAACACTGCTTCGGGGCTAAATGGCAACGCAGAACTCCTCACGCTCTCCTCCCCCCACTGCACCCCAAGCTTCCAATCTGTTCACTTGCTCCACACCTCACTTCTAGGACACAGACGGTAACACGTTACCTTTTGCCTTTTCCGCAGGGTCCAGTTCTTCCAGAGCAATAGTTGTATCTGTCTGGCGAAGCCCATGCTGGTGACCACCCAAGGACAAGGGGATGGCGTGGAGCAGAGGCTAACAGGTCAGGGTCAGGTTTTGGGTTAGTGACGGACATACACACCGCTCAGAGCACCTTCAGGCTGGTGTGTCCTTCTGTTGGTGATTAAAGGCTAGTTTTCCCCTTCAAACATAATCCCTTTTAATTCCACCTAAGCCCTTTGTTGGGGAGAGGAGGCAGATACCATGCTTGGTTCCTTTTTAGGAAGAGAAAATGAACACTAAAGACACACGTGATTGGGCACTGAGTGGGGACATTTGATGGGAACCAAGAGCCTTGGAGATGTCCTTCATCAGGGACCTCTGGGATTCTGGAGGGGACCACCTCTGGATATATTTGGCCTTTAAGTTTGAGACAAATCTCCTTGTGTAACTATAGGCTGGACATTTTTCTCTCAGCCCTAACATGAGATGGTATCCAGGGTTTGACTGCCCTTTTCAAGTCTCATCAATTCACTTGCCACAGCCGAAGTGACTTCTTTCTTTCTTTTTTCTTTTCTTTTTAAAATATTTATTTTTTAGGTGTAGTTGGACACAATACCTTTTTAAAATTTATTTATTTTTATGTGGTGCTGAGGATAGAACCTAAGCCCTCGCATATGCTAGGCGAGCGCCCTACTGCTGAGCTACAATTCCAGCCCCTTCTTTCTTTTTTAACCCTCATCTTTCTCATAGTGACTTTAAGCCAGCTGATTAATTAGTCATGGCTGCCCAGAGCCGTGTTGAAAAAATCCCTGGTCCCCTCCAGGCTCAGGCAGACAGAGTCCACAGTTGATTAGCAATGCCTGCACAGGTGTGGGTATGAGGAAGGGGGCAAGGTCTTGTCATTCTAGTGTGGCACAGAGGTTTTGGTGGATAGGTTCATCAGGTGGCTGGATACCTGATTTCAAGAGAACCCCAAACAGAAGCCTCCCAGGTACTTCCCCATGGACATTTTGTGTATATCTCCTCAAATCTCAGGCTTTTTTTTTTTTCTCTAGACCCTTGAAACCTCAAAGGGATAAAAAGAACCACAGAATGCTGAACCATAGGTTGCTGAGTTCATGAAATTTGTGATCATGTTGTAAACATGGGACATGAACTTGGATAATTAAGGTGCATGTAACAGAAGTCATAAAGGCCTATGGGCTGTTGGGTGGGGCTTCTAGGGAGAGACAGATGGTTTCTGCTTAGGTTGTTTAAAAGGCTCCTTGGAAGTGGTGGCATTTAAAATACGCTTTGGTGAACTACAAAATAACATTTTATAGTAATGTAGGATTTCCAAACTGTTTTTGTGTATTTTATTTAATCCTCACTACAATTTTGTGAAGCAGATATCTGTTCTGTTTCACTGATGAGAAATCTGAAGCCTGGTGAGATGAACTACTGGGTGCAGGGTCACATATGATAACCTGAGTTCTTGAACAAATCAGTTGTTTAAAATCTCTGCAAAGCCTGGGAGACAGAAATAGCTTATTCCTTCAGGAAAACCAAAAGAAGTGAAGCATGGCTGGAGTGAAGGGGATGGAGGGAAGATACTAGAAGAGGCTAGAAAGGGGGGAAAGGCTGAAAAGCATCATGATGTTGATGATGATGATCATGATTTACTCAACCAAGATTTAATGAGCATATCTGGCACTCCATATCTGGTCTCTGAGTGGCCCACAAGTGGAGGACAGGGCACCCCAAACAGAAGCAAGCTCTGTGCAGAACCAAGACCTTGCTGCATGTTAAAGAGTATGGGCTTTTTGCAGGAAGAGATGAAAGATTTTGACCCAAGACTAGTCAGTTTGCTCTGGCATCAGTGTAGGGGTACACGGGGTGGGGAGCACAGAACCAGAGCAATGGCACTGATAGCCATGATGGAGAGAAGGGGAGGGATTGGGGTGATGGGCAGGAAAGAGACACAGCATGCTGGCTGACATGTTAGAAGTGGGTGGTGAAGAAGGAGAAGCCAACTAGAAGGACTGGGGCTTGGGCACTGGCTGGGGGGACAATGAAAGGAGACAGTGGTGCTCTAGAGGGAGGAGTGACAGAGGAGGGCCAGCAAGGGCTGGGGGAGGAAGTGTGGGAGAAGAGGGGTTTGCATCTGACATTTGAAGTCCCTACAATGACATCTGAGTGGAGAGATCCAGCAAGCAGCTGAGTTCTGGAGTTAGAACAAGCTTCTAGGATGGAGACAGATTTGGGAATCATCAGCATATAGGTGGAAGATGAAGCCCTGGGACTGATTGGCCGGTCACCCAGGAAGGATGCTCAGAGAGTGTGTGAGGTCACATACAGCAGGCAGCTACGGATGGTGAAGGAATATGCTTCCTCCAAATTCCCAAAGGGAAGAAAAAAGTTGTGGCCATCAGATATTTGCTATGTAATGATGTTCTATCATAATTTATAAGTGGCCCACTTTTAACTGAGTTAGAAAAGAAAAAATTCAATGAGCAGTTTGTTATTATTCAATTTGCAAGTCTCTAATAGCATTATTCCAGCTAATTGGTGTTCATGCCTGAATAAAGTTTTGTTGATGTTGTTGCTTCCTCTTTCTTCATTATAAAATGTGCATAACACAAAATTCACTATTTCAACTATTTGAAGTATACAGTTAAGTAGAGTTAAGAGAATTCATATTGTATAATCAGCACAACCATGCATCCCCAGAGCTTTTTAAAATTTAGCTTACAATACTAAAACTCCACATCCATTAAACACTAAGTCCCCATTGCCACCTCCCTTCAGCCTCTGGAAATCATCATTCTACTTCCTGTTCCTGTGAATTTGACTATTTTAGGTACCTGATATAAGTAGGAGCTTAAAATGTTTGTCCTTTTATATCTGACTTATTTTAGTAATCATAATCTTTAAGGTTCATTCATGTTGTAGCATATTGTCTTAGTTCATTCAGGCTACTATAACAAAATACCACAAGCTGGATCTTTTAAACAGCAGAAATTTATTTCTCACAATTCTACATGCTGGGAAGTCTAGGATCAGGATGCTGGCAGATTCAATGTTGGGAAAGGCCCACTTTCTGGTTCATAGACAGTGTCTTCTAGTTGTGCACTCACATGATGGAAGGAGTAAGGGTTCTCTTTTATAAGGGCATTAATTCCACTAATGAGAGCTCTGCCCTAATGATCTGATCACTTCCCCAAAGTTCCACCTCTTAATACCATAGCTTTGGGGGTTAGGTTTCAACCTATGAATTTTAAGAGGTAATACATTCAAACACCCTTTCAAATTTCTTTCCTTTTTAAGGTCAGATTCTATTCCATTGTATGTGTATATCATTTTATTTATTCATTTATCCATCCATCGTCATTTTGGTTGTTTCCACCTTTCAACTCTTGTGAAAAATGCTGCTATGATCATGGGTGTGCACATATTTGAGTCTCTGCTTTCAGTTCTTTTAGGCATACACCAGGAGTGGAATTATTGGATCAAATGGTATTTAACATCTTGGGGAATTAGCATACTGTGTGCCATAGCACCTGCACCATTTATATCTCTGTGCCATATGTACAGGTATTATAGTTTCTCCCTGTCTTGGCCAACACTTGTTCTGCTTTGTTTTTGTTTTGTTTTATAACAGCTATCCTTATGAGTGTGAAATGGCATCTCAGTGTGGTTTTGATTTGTATTTCTGTATGTTGAAGACACTCTTTCAGTATTGTAGCTATATTTAGGTGTGATAATTCCCCTGTCCCTGGTAACCAGTTTAAAAATATTATGTCAAAATAAAATCTGCATTCTCAGTTTTCTCAAATATTTCTGAGAGTTTGTCTAGTTGGTCCAGGATGCTACTGATGATGCCTGTACAATTCATTCCTATTAGTTATTATTATTAACACTAGTTGACCTGAAACTCTCAGCTCATAATGCATAATACTTAGGGGGTAGATGAACAAAGACTATTTCGGTATTTGGAGTCAAGTTAAAACCCACTGTGTTCAATCCTATAGAGCTCTCCACCTCAGAGTTTTAGACTTGGATGGATAATATTAATGCAAACACATATGCATGAGGATACGTAGTAAGAGAACCTTCTAGATCAAATACAATAGCCATAGATAAAATCAAGTATGGCATGAGAAACAAATGCATAGAAGAAAAAGCATGGGTGAGAAAAAGCAGGGACAGATTGTGTTGCATCTGGTTGATGGGAGAATAAGCTCCACTGCTCATTTTTTAAAATTTTTATTAAAGGCTTAAACTCAGAAAACCTGGTTTTAATTTGAAAGGTAATATTTAAACTCTTTCATTATTCTGATGTATTTAAAACCCTATAAAATTATACAGTGAAATTATCTAGAATGTATGCAATTTATACCAAAACTATACAACATGTCATTTTTTATCCCTGAGTTAGAATAACAAAGTCCTGTGTAAGACTGAATATATTGTCCAGGAAAAATGGAAGCGTAAGTAATATGCTCTGAACATGTATGAACACATATTTACAGCCATGTTGAAATGAATTCTGGATGGTTATGTATCAAGTGAAAAGAAGTCAAAGGTTTGCAGTCTGGTAAGGAGAGGTTCTCTGAAGGGCACTCTGTGGAATGCATTTCTCTTGGCAGTAGGTAGCTCTGCTGACTCAATTCAATTCTAAGCAGATTTCCTTAATCCTGGCCTCTAACTGGATCAGTGCAGTCTGATTTCAAGCATTATTATAGGACGTGCAGGGACAATGGTTATTGAAAGGGCTGTGACAAACCTTTCTCTGGGAGTTGATTTTCCTTTGGTCATGATCAGAAACCCCATTCACCTGAGTGGAAGAGTGTGAGGACCACCTCTATTTCAGGGGAGGGGACAAACTGAGGGCTGCTAGTGATTCTAGGATGATAAACATGCCAAAAACTCCCCTGTGGGGTTTTGGGTGTTGTTGTTTCTTAATAGGCTGCTTAGGAAAAGTGCTTAATCAGCTTACTATATTCTTTGTACCAGTTCAGAAAGATTCTGCTGGGTAATTTGAGGACATGGTCTGGAAGAGAATTTTCAG